CATTAAAGTGTTATTAAAGCTGTTAAAGGTGCAGCTAGTTTTAATGACTTTGTATGCTGCAGGGTAGATTGTGAATTTACTCCAGGTGTAAACAAAGTATTGATTATATTTCACATCATTCATCCCAATCTGCAAAGTAACTAAAGGTATTTAATTAATGTAGTGGATCGAAAGTACACGATTTACCTTTGAATTCTAGTGGGGTAGAAGTACAAAGTAACATAAAATTTAAATACTCATAAAGTAAAAGTATCTCAAAATTGTACTTAGGTACAGTACTTGAGTAAATTAGTTACTTCCCACCTCTGCTAATAAAGATAACAATAATAATAGTCAAATACATACGGAAAGGTCGTCTGACTATTTGTGAACTTAGTTAATTTTTGTTATTTCACATTCACCTTTCACATATTCTAATAATTTTGACTGATTCTTTCAATAATGAAGACAGAGTGTATTTGATTTGGAACATGGAAAACAATGTCCTCTTGCACATCATATACTGTAGTTTAGATTAATTGAGTCCTATCCTATCCTGGAACTATTCTCATGCTGCTTCAAAAAAAATCATAAGAAATACAAAAAAATATTATTTATATGAAACCAATTAAAGAGACAACCAGTCAAAGTATCATGTTTGAGCATTTGTAAGTATGTTAAAATCACCGGGGAGATGTGTGTGTGGAAAGTGTTTTGAAATACTTGGTGTAAATGGAATTAAAATTCATTCTAGGCTTTGTATTTCTTTGTGAACTTAAAAATGGTAACAAACCAGGGCATAGGCTATGTACTACAGTATGTTGCACCTCCAGTATTTTTACAAATTACTTTGACGATGTTGACACCATCTTTGTATTTTGCAGACAATTTAAGTTTGGTCATCCTGAGTCTAGTGCTGCATTTGATATTGTACAGGTGAAAATGTGTTTGACTTAAAACAGGAGAAAAATAAAAAAATCTCATTATATTGTGTTTTATTGAACAGAGTAGGGCAGGGCTGGAAGACTGATAAACAACTACTTCACTACAAATAATCAACCTTCAGTGAATGATTGTAGCTTCATAGACAAGTAGCATCATGACCTATGTACTGTATGTTTCTTGTTCGTGGTTGAACACTTTAAACACTAATAATAGTAGTAGTAATAATACTAAAACCTTCTTTCTCCCCTCTTTAGTTTATCATATTAACATTTTGAACAAAAAACTGAAAAAAAACAGAAACCCGGAAAATATTATTTTATGTTTTATGTAGTAATCCGGCCATTATTCCAGATGTGGCGAGTCAAGACGGTTTACATGTATGAAACAACCCAGCCTGTACTGAGCAGCTTTAATATTAAACACTGAAAAACAGAATCATCATACTTGTGTTTGCAGCACACAGAATCACACCACAAAAAGTAATCATTCATAGAACAGAAACAATTATAAAAAAACAACAGCTAACTCAGTGTACATGAAAACATACAGTGTTTACTATATAATTAAAGTGTTTGACATATTGAGCTTTAGAGCACATCTGACAGTAAAAAAGGAACTTCTCACATGAAACTTGCTATGTCAGCACCATTGTAAATTCATTGTTTGTTCGTTTTTATTTCCTGACTTTTTTCTCTCTTTGATCAGTGACATTAAATAATCTGAACAAATACTTTCAGTGATCTACACTTTGCATGTATACCATATAAAGTCTCAGACATAGGGATCATTACAATAATACAAAAAAGGCACAATATTTACAGTCCAGGCAAACCTCCTAATGTAATTCATAAGGGAAAGAAACATATTAGTGTGCCAGGTTGTCACAGTTTAGATTGATACGAAGGCTCAGCCTCTCATTGAAATGTGTAAATAAGTGCCTATCTGGCAAGTCTTTGTCCGATGTGGCTCTGCTGTTCATCACTAAATTCAAAGTGTCTTTATGGCTTCTTTTCACCACACAAGATGAACTTGAAGCTACACCTCCCTCTGTCCTGTCCTCCTTGTGCGTCCTCTCCTTTGTCTTCAGGGAGTAAGTGTTGCTCACTGTCCATTATTTGCCCCTTTTCCTCGTCTTAACCAGTCTCTCCAGGGGGTTTGTGTTTTGCCCTGATTAGCGTCTGAACTCCAGGCGTTGGTTGTCCTGCTGGGCCTGCGGAAGAAGGCCATGCCGTTGGAGGTGGACTTCTTCTGAGGAAGCTCCAACTGGTGCTGGGACTTAAGCTGCTGGTTGATGATGATCTGGATGTCGTCCTGAAGGAAAGATGGACAGAAAGAGAAAATTAGCAGGAAGTCTGGACAGCGGGGACTCAACACTGTCAGCACTGCTCTCATATCATTCAAACTCAGTATATACAGTACATCAATATGACTGTATTAGATTTAAAGCTTCATTATGAAAGGGACAGTTAAAACCAAATAAAAACAACACATTTTTTTTTTTTAATCAGTCTACTCTAGACTGTTTTGGTTTGGGTTGCCAAGTGTTGCAAATATTGTCTTAAATATGTCTACTTTCTCTCAAAGATTATGGAACTGTATAGCACTTGGTTATTGGTGCTATCAGTAGCAACACAACACATATTTTGCCTAGTATGAGTGTACTGATTCAGGATTTGCTTTCCCTAACACATAACTTTCTCTGTCCCTACCAGTGTAGATCATTCATCATTTTTGATTGCTTGTAAATATTCCTATAAATGTGTGAATTATTAACAGCTATGAAATAAGAGATTGTATTTGTGGACTAGTTGATGCCAGTCTGTCACTACCCATTAAAATATTGGTAGGTGAAAAACTCTGTTATTGTTTTATTTGTGATTTATATTCTATGGGAATATTTTTGAATGACTTATTTCGTTATTATTGAGGATCATTTTTACACTTCTGCTGATAAACACGGATCCTCCCAATTATAATCTGGTTTATTGTCCCCAAAAGGTGGATGGCAGGCTCTACAGCAGATGGCTGTGGTTGGCATAGTGACTGAGCAGCAGGAGGAGACGCTGACAGAAACACCTGCCGCTCATTTTCCTCCAAACTGACCGAGCTGAGAGAGAAACAGCTGCGTCTTTCACTGACCTCCCACTGAGGACATCATGCGTCTGCTGTATACAACATAACGTATAATTTCGATCTTAAAGGTGTTCATTTAATGTACTCATATTCATATTTATGCTTTTCATAAGCAAAAGGTTTCTCTGACAGATCTGACAGGCAGTTGGTGAGAAACAAAAGGGCTGAGAAGGAGATGGTTTAATATTCTTTCTGGGAGAGTAGACTGAATGGGATGGAAAAGAGAGTTTGAAAGACAGAAAGGGATCTCACCTGCCAGGCCTCCAGCTCCTGCGACAGCTCCAGTTTACGTTGGATGGCCTCTAATAACTGGTTGTTCAGAGACATCATGTCATTTTTACTTCTGACCAACTCTGCCTCCATCAGGTTTTTCCTACAAAGAAAATTAAGAAACACCTTCAGTCACATCACTGTCACCTACAATAATCAATTCAAGAGCAGTGTTCTAAAGGAAAACTTTGAATTATGTCTCTATTTTTGTTTTAAAACATACATTTGCCGGACATAAATTCATTGATTGGTTGTTATTGTTCAAACCAAACATTGCAGAATTATAATAGCAAGTATGATAGCTGCATATATTGGATTTTTGATTATTTTCATTGAGAATATTTAGGGAGAAAATGTTTTACCTGGCTATGGCTTCATCTCGGTCTTTGATGGCCTGATGGACAAATTCAGTCTGCTCCTGCCCGCTCTGCAGCCTCTGCCTCAGCTCAGAGTTTTCCTGCTGGACCTGGACGTTCTGCAGGAGGGAGAAATGAGCAGTGTTAGGGTCACAGTGTGAAATTCAGAGCATTTATCAAAGTTTTTTTCTGCATATAACACAATTAAGGAATTTTTGTTGCACTAAAATGTAATTTTATTTTATAAATGTTAATCTTTTGATGGCTTTGGAGCTCACACATAGCCAATTTGGATCTCCTAATGTGATACCAAAGTACGTTTAAAAGGTGGTGTTTAACAGCATTATAACAGCTTGGAGTGTTTTGAAAAAGAAGATTGTTGCACTCAGGTGACAATGACACAAAAAATAAACCAAAGCACGCTAATGGAATTTGTTAACACCCATGTTTTAGGGCTAACAAAAAACTAAGGAGAGGAAATTAAAACTGGAAGATTTAAGATGTGCTTTCAAAATTTCGCTCCGTTAAATCCACTCCAGAGAAGTCACTCTGTTTGTCTGTGGAACCAGGATGGATTACAGTGACAGCAGTAAGGTCAGTTTTACTAATGCACAACCGAATCCTAATATAATGAGCTGCTGTGTGCGCTGCTCCTCCCTGACAGACGTGCTCGTTCAGCACAGTTACCTGATCTCTCAGCTCCTCCGCTGCGCTCGGATTCCCACACTGATCGCCCGTCCCCACGACAAAAGCTTGATTCAGCTCCTGGGACACAGACATTAACAAAGAGATCAGGTATCGTCCGTGCACTTCACAGAGATTTATGTATACCAAAAAGGAGCTTCTGTAGAGTTGGCCTATTTGAATGTGCTCCAAGGGAGGAAGGGGATGGGCAGGGATATTTAGTTTCAGAGGTAAATGCCTGTTAGAGGTCTGAACACCATTAAACACAACTGGACAATTGTATACGCTTGCTTGTGGCAAATAGAGGCTTAGCAAAGCACATGAGATATCAATTGCAACAATTCATTGGCATCTATTGCTTTAACAAGGACACACAATTTCCTCAGCCTGGTTCAGTGTGAGGACACCATGCTGCCTCTAACAGCCACTAGGGGGTAGATAGGCTGATAGTGATGAATGTGGTATTTGAGAGGACTTTTCTCAATGGTTAATTCTATAGTTCAATCTATTTGTAATCAGTCTAACTGGGATGAGGATACAGTTCATAAGAGGGACCACAAGAATAAGAAATATTTACAAGAATACAAACAATGAAACCCAATAACGTAATAAAGGATTACAAAATTATGAAAGATATCAAATTATAAAGATATAAAATCACAACTGTACTTTTAGGGCTTATACAACATATACACACAAAGTAAAAACAAGGGGGGGAGGGTAAGCATTTTAAGTTTAGTTGTCCTTTTATGGATTATGAAAAAACATACACTTAATATGTCCTAAGATTGTCTCTCAACAATAGTGAACATATTTGAATAATCTATATTTAAAAAGAAAGAAAAAGGCTGCTCTACATATGTATTGAATACTGATTTATAAGTCAAATATTTAGAATACAATAAGCCACAGTGTTAAATCCAGTCCTCCTTTGATTTCAATCAAAAAGGTCAGCCTTTTGTTTTGCATTTCCTCTCCTGCTCCGCATGCTCATTCAGTCTCTCACCTGTGTGCTGGATGCCTGTGCGAGGGTTTGGGCCGCTCCCTTCAGCTGGAGCAGCATGGCCTTCAGATCCTCCTGCTGACCCACGACCTCTGACCCCCCCGAGCTGTTCAGGTGCTGGGTCAGTGGGAGCAGTAACTGAAGGATGGACCCCATTTCTTGCGTTATCTAAGTTAAACAAGAGGAAACATGTTGATTTATGCAAGTTGTGACTTTAAAGAGTGAACTTTACTTTCTGTTTTGGGGTTGCTTGAAGAGTTAATTTACTCTTAAAAACACAAACACATGTTTCACTGTTTATTTTGATGTTTGTCTGTTTTTTTACCTGCCTCGGGACATCAAATGTACATTTTTGCTAACTCAGGCATATTTAAACCTTGTATATTTAAAATGATGTTTATTCCTATCCCTATCAAATAAATTGATACAGTCAATAAAAACAGTTGTTATAGTTATGAGGCTGCTGCTGTATATGGCCTACATTAAAATAGTTAAAAATAGTTTGTTTTTTTCTTTCCCCCTTTCCTTTCAGCGTGACACACATCGGTTTAGTGACATCAAGTATTTACACACTGGGAGGTGCAAGCATAACCTCATCTCTTTATTTAACTTTCTTGAGTCAAGTATATCACATGGTGATACTGTCCTCATTAAACATCATCTTGAGGTTTCACCCCTTCCGCTTTCATACAGCAAAATGATGATACATTTACAGACACAAGGGTTAACGTGCACTGAGCTGTTAAACAAGGAAACTCTCCTACACTGTGGCTATGACAAACAGGAAGTGTAGTGTATGACTCATGAGTGCAGTTAAACATCAGATTGTACTTCTGGAAACAAATGTGGAAACACAGCGGGGCAGAAAGACAGTTTTTCAGTTCCCACCAAGACATAATCAAAGCAACGAGTCTTATCTAATCTTTTGTAGTGTCTTCACTTTAATACATGACAATGTCCCACCTCCTGTCTGTCCTTGCATCAAACACAAGTCACACTGTCCTTTGAAAACTAGCACAAAATGTCCTGTCAGCATGTCGTCTCTATGCCACGACATGTATACATGTTTCTTTAAAAATTCCACTTTCTCCTTTAGGTTTTTCTGGTGCCATTATGCTGTTATGTCACTTTGCAGGAAATACTTTGTTTAATATTCGTGTTTCCAGTCATCACAGGAAAACTACTTTCCCTCAAAACAGTCATGAATCATTGTGGGCAGGACTACAAAGGCATGAGAACAAAACTAACTCTTGCCAACCACATTATGGAGACAATGTCGGTTCAGTCAGTCCCAAACTATACTCTTCTGCTATTTCTGTCAGTCACAGTCTTCACCTCTTAGACAAGAATGTTGTCTGAGAGGTATTTCCTACATCTGGGCAAAGATCTACTTTCACTTCCCATAGTTATTCTGCAGCAGTGATGGTTTTGTGTTTTAAGAACAATTCAAAACTGTATCCAGTCGCTTACTGCTAAGAATGATTGATATGGATGAACAGATACATTCTTCATCACCTTGTACATAACTCATACGTAGCACATGTCCTAGAAAATAGACTGAGAAACAGTTTTATCAATGTGGTCACGCAGAAATATGTCAGCCAGTGCAACAGTGAGGCTCAGTGCCGCTGCATTGGATATAAAGATGAGCTATGGGTCAATTCTGTAGTAGGAACGATTGTTGGTTTGGGATTTTTTTTTTTAATGGGATTTCTTGACTATAAGAAAAAAATGTATTTTAATTTTTTATATTATATTTTTATTATATCATAACTTAGTACTTTTTTCTTAACTTAGGTAACATTAAGCTGTCTGTGGCTCTTTCCTGCTGTAACGATGCAAATTTCCCCTCTGTGGGACTAATAAAGGTATTCTGATTCTGATAAAGATTTCTCATATAAAGCATAGGTTTTTTTCTCTGTTTAATTTCGCTGACCAGATGTTTTCAACCAAATATTTCTCCTTGTCTTGCCCGATGGTTTAAACACTGTAGTTTGACTTCAATCTGCTTCAGTACCTCTTCTCTGCTGACTCCCAGCGCGGCCGTCTCCAGGCTGCTCTCCAGCTCGGACAGCAGGGAGGTTTCTCCGTGGCTCCTGCCTTCCTGCAGGGACACCTGCTCCTGCAGCTCCTCCACCTGGGCCTGCAGCTGTTCTGAGCGGCCCTGTGCCGCCTCCACCTCCTGCCACGCCTCGGAGAGCTACAACACAAGAAGGTGCATACACATACTTTAAACATAGAGGCAAAACAACAGGCACAATAGTGCATTGTAGGTAAGCACCCAACAACCAATGAGGGAAAGAAATGCCATTCTTCGGTTATATTCATGATAAACAGATATAAGGACACAAAAGTGTTTTTACCCAAGGCCATGTGTGCTTTTTAAAAAGCCACGATTAAAATAGTTTCTGCTACTGAAATCCAGACCTGCCAGATTCCAGCCTGCAGCCTCACATGAAACTAAATGAACATGTGAGGAATCCAGAATTGTGAGGGAAAGACACAATGCCGGGGATGAGCTGATTGTTTAGCAATGCTCTCCACCATCCTGCCGAAACCCAGGCTGCCAGGCAGGGAGCAGAAAATCCCTTTGTTATCGAATGCTCTTTCATTCATACAGCGACCGCACTGAGCTGCTTTGTTTCGCCCCGGCTGTGTGTGTTTGTTTACCTGCTGGCTGTGCTGCTGTTTGAGTTGGTCGTGCAGAGCCAGGCGTGTTTGTAAAGAGGCTAAACTCGCCCTCAGATCTGCGTTTTCTTGACACACACTCTCTATTCGTTCCTCCAGCACCTGCTCCTTCTGGGTGAGACGCAGCACCTGAAAGCACAAAAACAAAGCTCTTAAATATGATAAAAAAGTTACCACATATCTGCCAGGAAAACTCTCACAAACTCCTACTATGCTGTTGAATCAATCTATATCAGCAAACCAATGTTGAAATATGTGATTTTCTTCTTTTTAAAAGGTGCCAAATGAATTTGTTTTCCCTGGAGAAACAAAAGGGAGCTGCTTTCCATCGTTTACTGTGAGAATGTCACTTTCTTTCTCTATTTTGGAAACAAGGAGCCAAAAGTGTTGTTGTGTGGTTGCATTAAACATCAGTGTCATTCATTGTTTACTGTCGACAGGTCTTTTCTAACAATATGTTTATCCAAACAAGAATGTGGATTTGTAATTGCAGGTTTCTGAGGGTGGTCATTTGTCATTTAAGAGTAAGCTTAAAGGTGGGGTAGGTAATTTTGGAGAAACCAGATCGAGTGCGCTAGAATTTGAAAATACACAGCCGGAAAAAATCTGCCACTTCCTTACAGAGCCCCTCCTCCAACACACACGAACATGACCAATGAGGGCACGAGATAAGTTTGTGCACAGATGGAAGGCTGACAGGCAGGTAGGCCATCCAGTTATTTTATCCGGGCTGGCTAAAATTATTGGTCGTGCTTTTTACAGCGCTACGGCTTCCACAGATGACATTTTTTTATGGATTTATTGTCAAAGTATTTAAGATATTCTTTGCTATCGGGATGTTAAGAGCATTCCATGGAATATAACAAAAAGTGTATCTCAAGCCTGTTTCTCAAACTTACCTACCCCACCTTTAAGTGTGGGAACGGATATTATCTCTTTTGAATCTCTTTATATTAATATTATTATGTTCTTCATGTAATGGAAAAGTTGATTTCAAAACTTAAATCACAACACTCAAATTAAATGCAACACGGTAAAGCAAAAAGAACCAGCAGCTGGCAACACAATCACCACTTTTGACAGGAAATAGAGTATAAGAAAACACAGACTTGCTGGTGCAGTTTGTTCTGGTCGTCGTGTCTGTGGGAGAACACGATGCTCACAGCACTGACATTTTTTTTAGCTGACCATCCTTTTTTAAATTCAGGATTTAGCTTTGTAGTGGTTGCAGCATTTAGTGGTACATATGTATTGTTCATGTAAGTTACCTGCTCCCTCATGGCACTGATCAGCTCCTCGTCCTGCGGCCTGTTGTTGCTTCCTTTTTGTTGGAGCTCCTGTTTCAGAGCTTGCAGCTCGCCGGACATGGCTCTCTCCACCGCCATCGCCTAGAGAAAAAATACACGGAGCACATGAGAATCAAAAAAAGGTAAAAAACATGTGGCTTTTAAATTCTCAGAACAGCCTTCCTTCTGAATTGCGTTTACCTTTAGGAGGGATCAAAACTTTTTTAGCAAAGCTTGCCTGAAGGATGAGCTTTAAGAGACTTGAGGACACAATCTTGAATCTTAAAATAACCACATATATAGCATAGTTCTAAATCCTGTAATCTAGACCCTGAGGAGAAGGAGCACAATATGATACCTGACAGAAAGGTGGGGATTAGGTGAAATTGAACATGTGTTGGGTATGTTTTTTGCTGCTGGCCATGCACACCAAGAAAACGAAAACGCGAGCTTGTTTTCTTTACTGTCTTTGTAAGAACTGCTCCTGGTTACAATATTCCCAGCATGGGAACCCAGTGACCCCCAGAGATGTTTGAAGATACAATCGAAAGGGGTCACAAGATGATTAAAGGGTAAAGAAAGATCAAATGTTTCTTTTTTTTGTAATAAATTGTCTCTTTTCTTTTTATATTTTAAATTTTTCAAACGTCTAAAACTCCTTAAGATAAAACTATTTGAAAAGGATTTTTTGTTTTGTTCAACAAGTCATACCTGAAACTGAACCTAAGATCATGACCTGTGATGAAGGGTAATGTGTACATATTGGATTTCTTTTTTAAAAGGCACCATGTGGAGTTTCTGGTCACTCTTAAGACTATGGAGCAATGTTATGTGTGTATTCACAAGTGAGAAAGCGCAGCAAAGGGATGTACAATCCTAAAACATGTCACAAGCCAAAAAGACTGGAAACTACAAAACACAACCTGACTGCTGTGAGCACTCACGCATCCAGAGTACAAAATGATTAACCAGTCACCGCCAAACCACGTCATATTAAGATTTAAATAATGATTTATTTCTTGTTGACATTGTTTTTCCTTGGTTATCAGGAAATCAGCTACTTCCTCAACACTTGGCTCTCAGACACAAATTTCGAAACATAAAAAGAAAAGTAAAAAAACTGGGATCTTGACGGATCTGAAGCCCCGGTGAACACCCACCCGTTGCTCCCCCCCTCTCGCTCAGTTCCCCTTACTCAGCAGTGTGGCGGGCCCCTGTCAGGCCCTATCATTGCCACATAATACAAGATGAAAGGCCGGCCCCCGCAGCAGATGGAGCAGAGGGCATCTTGGTCTCGGCTGTGACATCACCATGCCACATGAGACAAAAGTGTGGCGGAGGGCAAACTTGGACTTCATTAGGGTGAAGTGGAGTGGGAGTGGGGGTGGGGGGTGCAGCTTGTGTGTACGTGTTTGCAACAGTGTACGAGGAAGTGAGGCAGGCGTGAGGGCTAAAATTAGCGGGAAGACAAGATTAAATCTGGCGCTGATGGAAAAAAAAAACATTGCAAGCAGACACACTTTGAGGAGGATAAAAGGGGGGGGGGGCTTGTTGAACATTTGTATCCATGAGTGAGTCGTCGTTACTGCTGCCTCATCTCGTCAACACGGGCCCCTTCTCCACAATAGAGGCAGCGACCCACTGAGAATCACCAAAACAGGAGTGGAAGGAGGACGCTCCATTTGGTAGAGACACAGAGATGACATCCCCTCACACGGCCCCCCGAGCCTCCAGCCATCCAAACGCTGAGGTACCCAACAGCTGACGACCCAAGCTACAGACGAGGGCCTCAGGGAGCATACAGAAAAGATAGCTCTCCCCTGGGATGATGGGATGTTTGGGTATGAGGGGCAACATCAAAGGAGCAAATGAAAGATTTATATCTCTCCCCAATGTATATTGTCTTTCCCTTTTTGTCTGTGGGCTGCGTGATGCTTGTGGAGGGGGCAGAGGTCACGGGGGCTCGCCTCAATTCAAGCATCTCTTTTTACAATAACGGAAATCTCACAGCATGGGATTTGTCACAGTCGTCCAATAACTCACTGGGATCCACTGTGAGACAGGGGAGGTGATGCAAGGTCATGAGGTCATGTAACACTAGGTGGAAAGCAGTAGGTGAAAAGGTAATGTGTTTACCACATAAAGACTAAATCACCACCTGTTTCCTTTACACCCAGTTTCCCCTTAAGAGAAACGCAGTGGACCAAATGTTTGACCTGCAACTGAAAATATATTTATAATCGAATGATCTGCCAATTCTCTTTTCAATAATCAATGAATAATATGGACTTTGAAATCTCAATAAGTAGTATAGATGCTTAATTTAGTCTATTACTCAGTCAATATTTTAAAGGATTCAACATTTATTTGTTAGGCAAATGTTAGGCAAATTTGCAGCTTCTCAAATGAAGAAGAAGATGAAGGAGATTCAACTTATTGTCATTACGTAGTCCTGAACCTCCCTAAGGATATGTTATTGAATTCTTTGCCCGGGAAACGTTGTAAGTAAATATTATTATCAATTCCAGTTTATCATTGAATAACCATACTCCCTTTCCAGTATGGCATTTCATATCCAGCCAATTTGTTGATATCCCAGTTTCGGTGGAAAATGTTCTTGCACAAGAGTCCAATTTAAGCAGAAAAATACCTTAATCTCCCTTTTCCAAGTAAATAATGTCGTAATTTACTAGCTCCCCAGAATCAGATGTTATACATTTCCTTGCTAAACATTCACTGAATCACATGATAAATTCAATTGATTCAGTGAATCAAAGCTTGCCTTAATGTTCTCACATTGTGTGTCTGTTACAGTAACTATAACTAATATTATCTGAAATAAAAAACACCCTGACATCAGTCAACACTCTCGTATTTTAACACCTACTTTGCTCTGCTCTGTCTAAACAGTTAGCACTGACCCATGTGACAATCTGGCACACGTCAACATTGTTTTTAGCAGCTGCTTCCTCCAATGCACTAGAATGAAAAGTCACGGTAAACCGTTCCTCTCACATCAGAGCTTTGCTGGTAAACATCAGCATTTCTTTTTCGCTCAGGTTTCCTTGGTGCCATTTACAGACAGACCACCTCCTCCAGATTCCTGTCATGCTCTGGTTACACTCTCACAGTTAGGATATAGTGTTTCAAGCTCTCTGAAACCTACTACAGTTTCATTATGTGTAGATTCACAATCCATAACAGAAATACTGCAGATGGAAATGATGTCAATTGTATAATTGAACAAATATGTACAGGTTGTACAGGTTCTAACATTGTCTTCTCGTCCCAAATGTAAATATTTACTATCATTGATGTATAATATGAGTTTTCTGTTTGAAGTCGTATAAAAAAAGACATTTGAAGACGTCATGTGGGCATTTAAATGTACTGTCCTCCACCATATCATAAAGACAACAATCAATCAATATCAACCCTAATCTGCAATCCAATCAGGACATACTGTAAATAATACATGTCCCTGTTCCAGTGGTTACTTTGGGAACGCCTGTAAACACCCATACACACAGATATACAGACACAACTCACCGCGGCAGAAGCAACAGTTCTTTCCACCACGTCCGGTAAAAACACGTCAGACATGGAGCTTCTTTACTCTCTTTCGTTCTTTAAAACATTCACTCTTTCCTCTTACTGTTTACAACCACACAGAGTACAGAGTTGCCCATGTCTGATGCCAAATAAAACATTTTTCTTCACTTCCTTCTCCCCGAACAGAACAGAGATAGCACCTATTATCTAAATTGACTTTTTCCTGAACTTCTAGGGAGTCTCTTTTCCTCAGTAAGTGCTTCAGACGGGGGCAAGACAATCATTATTCTTATTCGGTGGACCTTGACTCATGGGGGCGGGGGTGGTTCACTGTTGTTTGGATTCATTTTTAAATTTTGCCAGCTCAGGTCTGCTGTTCATTTCTAAACGACACTAAGAACCACTCTACTAGTAGTGCGTAACGCAGCACGTCATGACTGTAATGTTTAGTGAAACGTTCTCAGGCTGGAAAAACACTGAAGGATGTCCAGCTGCGTGATCCAATCAGCTCCTCCATGTTCATTGATAAGAGGCAGTAAAATATGTCACCAGTTTGATTCTCCTCCAATTGTTTCCTAAGGATTCTACACTGAAGATCATTAATGTTTGACTTGAAGACGTATGAGCTGATAATGATTTGAATCAGCTGTATGTTGCCAAGTCTTTTTTCCATTACGTAATATAGGTACCCAAAGACATTAGTAATAGATGGCTTCATGTTATAATAACTGGATCAGGTTAAATAGATTATAATGTTCTCATGTAAGGCTGCAACTAATGATTATTTTCATGATCGAATCATTTGCACATTTTTCTCCCGATCAATCAATTATTACATAAGAAGATAGTGATTCATGCCTTTCACTAGGTAGAGTCTTAAAGTTGCGTTTTGTTTAATCAACAGTCCAAAACACAGAGATGAGCAGATGTATTGTGTTTGCCATGATATAAGGAAAGCAGAACAAATTCACAATCAAGATTCTTGAAAGAGGTTTTTGTGACTTAAGATTAACAATCATTATTTTTCAGGACTTTTTTTGTCTGTCCTCCCTCTGTCCTAGATATAAATCTAAATCATGCCATTAACTTTCACTCCCCTTGTTGTTTACATATCGCTTCCCTTCTAAACCACAGATCAGATCATTTGCCTGAAGCCAACAACTTTGTTAAGTAACTACTGACGGACAAACAACGTCTGGCCCTCCCGCCCAGATGAAGAAGTTCCTTCTTATCACAGTAAGCACTGCTCAGTGTGTGAACAGTTTGAGAGTTTGGCCTTGCTTTAGAGCAGGTTAGACTCAGACTGATACCTAAGCAGTTTGCAGAGAACATTATGTTTCAGTGCGGGGATAAAGTGACAGCTCCTCTTATCTGGTTTGACCCCGAAGGTCGGCAGCTTCTGATCCACAGCTCGGTGTTTGTTTCTCAGAGGCTCGGGTACCTGCAGCAGCCAGGTACTTTGAACCAAAATCTATAGATATATATTCTTCAGTCAGTGTTGAACTAAGTACATTTACTCAAGTATTGTAGTAAAGAGGTACTTTGCTTGTGTATTTTATTTTCATAGCATTTTATACTTCGACTAAAATTCAAAGGAAGATATTGTGCTTTTCACCTGAATACAGTTTTCTTACAGATTTAGTACAAATCAAGAATTTCTCAGAAAGATTCATGTTTATGAAATATGATTAAATGTTTTGTTATGACTAAAACTTGCAAATTGTTTATACAAGAAGAGTTACTTGATTCATCCACTAGCCGATTGAGGGATAATTATTCCTAATCTATAAACATATATTCTAGTTTATTCCCAATAATTGTTTTTTTGTAACTTATTTTTCTGATTTGGTACTTTTCCATTTAATACTTTATTACATTAAGCTGATTAGACTTACTTACTTTTATTTAAGTAACATTTTGAATGCCTGACTGTAACAGTGGAAGTCAATTCTCCTTTAACCACTGTCTACAGTTCAGACAGGATAACACACACACACACACACACACACANTACTATGAAGCTGGAGCCAGTAGTCAGTTAGCTTAGCTTAACTGGAACCAGTGGGGAACAGCTAGCATGGCTGAACCACATATTCTTAGTTTTACAATTTGATCTGAATATATATATATATATATATATATATATATAGTGTTAATTAACAATCATTAGATGTGGAGGTAGTTGTTTATTTTACATTTGAACAGGAACAAGTTACCTTTTTCCCTGTGTGTTTACTCTTGTTGCTAAGCTAACCATTTGCTCCTGGTATTAGGATGGGTTAAAAGCAGAGAACATATTTCACTGTGTGTGCCGTGTGCTCTGCATGTGCCCATTAAAGAGGGTTTCATCCCTCTAATCTCTCTCTGCTGTTGATGGTATGAATCCAGCTTCAAAATGTTGCTGCTGCTCTAACAAAGAAACATTCCCTGCATTCAACATGTAATTTAGTTTGTTTTAACAAAGCTGAGCATGTGTAACTTCTCCTCTGCAGTTCTGTATCTTTTGTCATGTGCGTTTGAGTGTACAGCATGTATGTATTCACCTTCTGCATGTATCCCTCCCACAGCTTGATCTCAGCAGTCAGGGCCTCCTTGTTTCTCTTCAGAGCAGAGTCGTGTCTCTCTGCCTCCGGGACCTTCCAGTTGTAGTAGATAACGTCAGCTGAAAAATGTAAAAACAGGCATTCAGTCGTGAGGGTGGCTCTCGGACGTATGAGCGATAACAATAATGTTTAAACAAACACTCATTGTGCAAACATCCACTCCCACATTGTGATGATTGTTTTCCTGTCCCATGGCAGCTAAAGGTGGCGTAAGGACATGATTACGTAACATCAATTTCAAACTGTAAAAAAGTCGGAAATAAAGTTTGCAGCAGCCCACTTATACAGCACTATACTCACTAAACTGTATTTACAATGTATGCCCAACTTGATTGTAAATTATTAGGAGTGTAGCTTCCTTTATTTTTCACCCCTCCCCCAAAACGGAATGTCTCATGACTTGAGCTCTGCATGCAAGCCAGTCTGAAGTACATGTGATCCTTTGTAGGATCACTATTGTGACCTCTTGGCTCTTTTAAGGGGTGCACCACATACAATGAATGCATGATACAATGGCTACGTTTTGTGAATACACAGCTCATTAGTCAGGTCCTTTGGGTGAAGTTGAGCTCCCTCGGAGATTCACTGAAGACATGAAGTCTCAGAGGTCTGAAGGCCGCAGAGCACAGGGTTTGTTGCCAAGAGCAATCCAGTTCAAAGTCCCATAAGGCACCACTCTAACTACATCAACCAGCATCTCTAAAGCTTACCTATTAGCATGTATAATCAGTAAAGTTATAGCAAGAAGATTTAGGGTTACTGGTGGGTGCTTGACTATTAATTTACTAGAAGCAGTGACTTCCTGGTTGCCTGTCTAATAGTCAAGCACCCACCAGTAACCCTAAATCTTCTTGCTATAACTTTACTGATTATACATGCTNACATCATGGACCTTAACAGTTTCAGCCGATTATAGAACCAATATCAGTCTTTACACATCATAAACAATTGAACAGCTTCTAAAGCTTTCTTCTTTCTTCCCTCTTATATTGCGATCCCTCACTCACTTTTATATCTATATATTATTCAGTGCGAGAATTAGGGCTCGAGCCTTGTCCTGCCAGGAGTTTGTAAAATCTGCGCTGAAATGGCCGTGTCAGCGCCATTCTCATACACACGATGCCAGGTGCCCTCATGTTGGTTAGCCTCGGGTTAGCCTGCTCAGTGGCCCTGCGAACGATATCTTAGTTTAATTCTTGGTCCGGTGCGAACTGATAATATTGCGGCTCTGAGACTTATTTGTGTGACCTCAGTTCTGACTTGAGAGGAATGGTTTGGGGTCAAACACTTTGTGTGTTGTCGAATAGTAGCGTTTTGCCAACTTTTAATGGTCTCTGAACAAATGCAGACACACTGGCTCGTTGGCTCCAGGTGGGCCAGGGATGAACAATGAATGAGTCTCTGTCCGTCCACTCAGGGTTAAAAGGCTCTTCTCATGGCTTCCACTTTCCTCTTCTTGGAGAGCGCCATGTGCTAATTATTTGTTCACGAGGACCATTAAAAGTGGCAAAACGCCACATTCGGACCAAAACACAAAAGTGTTTGACCAAACATCCTCTCAAGTCAGAATGACGGTCACACAAAAATAAGTCTCAGAGGGCCCAATATTATCAGTCCACCAGGACCAAAAATTAAAACTAAATATCGTTCCAGGGCCCACTGAGCAGGCCTAACGAGGTAACCAATGCAGCACCTTGCATTGTGTGTATGAGAATGCCCTGACACCATTTTCAGCCCCATATTTACAAAACTTCCTGGCAGGACAAGCTCGCAGCTCAATTCTCGCCTGAAATAATATAATAATAAAAAATGTGAGTGAGGACTGCCAATATTAAGGGAGGGAAAGAAAGAAAAGCTTTAAAACTGCTTCAATTGTTGTATGATGTGTAAAGACTGATATGTTCTATAATCGGCTGAAACTGTTAAGTCATGATGCTGAAACGGTTAACAAAGAAAAAGGGAAACTCAAGCTGCTGCCTACACTTTTCATTTTGTTCTATCTAAAATTAAGCACTTTTAAGATGCCACATATTTTCAAAGCTATTTTATTTATTTCTCTATTTTATTTTTTAAATGCAGCCAGAGAGGAACATTACACATAATCCACGTTATTACTGGTATATCTGCTATAGTTCAATGCTTAATTGACCAATAAATATTGTGGTTTGTTGAATTGCCTAACTTCTTTATTTGATTGGCAGTCAGTTGTTGGTTACATGCAAACGTTGATAAAGCTACAGGCTACTTCAATACATATCACACTAATTCATAAAGCAAGTAGCCTAAGACATTTTGATGTTCCGGACCTTTACATGGGGAGATTTTCTCTAACTGGACCTCGTTGAATGTTAGTTGAATACCCCTGGTGTAAAGCAATGTCAGCCAAAAAGTGAAAAGAAATTGCAGATAAGAAAAGTAAAAATCATTGTTGGAAAAACAACACCACCTGATTACTTAAAAAGTGTAACTGTACAACATAGTTGGAAAAGTTCTTATAATTTGATGTATAGCTGGACTGTTTTGAGAAAGTGCACACATCCTTTATTGAGTGTGTATACATCTTTCTGGGACATTTCTCTTTGTTTTAAATAATAGGCTACTTAGAATTACTTAAAGAGGGCTTCCCTTGATTTGTCTGTATAGTGTCCTTGGCTTAAACAAAACAGATAATCAATGCCATAGAGGCCACGCTGCAGCACAGACAGTTTATGATAGAAACCTTGCAGCTCCGGACACAGAGTGCTCAGCTCTGCAGTCAGCCAGGTGAGCAGCGGGCAGGGGAGTTCATCACATTCACACCGAGAGAGGCAGCGGCTGCCCGGGTACCTGAACAGGAAGTGAGGCGGACAGGTGAGACAAACTGAGAGTCTACGCAGCAAACATGAAGCAGGTAAAAGATACTCACCCGAGAGCTTTAATTGCTGAAACCGTCCCTGCGCTGCTCTCCATTGTCACTTCAGAGGTGATATGAATCGTTTAAAGTATGCAAGCTCCACACAACTCAGGAAAGTTCAAACGCGTTTGATAAAAAAACTGCTGTTCAAAGTGTGCTTCCTCTTTTTACAGTTGGCAGCGGGAGGCCACATACCGCCATCTGCTGACTGGAGGTGTTGTGACAATAACAAGTAACGCAACGGTGAGCTAAAATATAACATTTTAAGAAAGTAAGACAATAAATAGTTAAAACAATAACAAACAATAGTTAGTTATATTAAAGTCTAATGAATTATGTGGAAAGAAAATGTATTAAAAAAAAAGGATGTGCTTTATACAATATGCTGTAGCCTACATTATGTTAAAAAAGAAAACAATGCATTTGTTTAACTTAATTTCATTAAGTAAATTACATTATAAACAACAAATGAACACATACAAATCTGTTTCTTTACTTTCCTCTAACTCTCCTGGAAGAGCACATAGTAATGTGTTTTAGTCTTTTGTCCACCAGGGGCCACTTCAGGTCTGCGCTGGACTGACATTATATAAACTAATAATGACATTTACACTGACAGTAAACTTAAGTTCATTTTCTTAAGTACTGTATTTAAGTGCATTTTTAAGGTGCTTATATTACTTGAGTATTTCCATGTTATGTTACTTAATGCGTCCAAGCCACTACATTTTAGGGAAAAATATTATAATTATATTATATTAGTATCACAATACTTACACTGAACCACATTAATTTAAAAGCTTTAGTGACAACTTGTAATTTTTTACGAGCCTGATAAAGTTCTTATCAGCTCCACTAGCATATTGATGCTTCAGTACAAATACAACCTTATTATATATCTGTATATGTGAGGAGCCGATTCTGCAACAAAGCCTATTTCACTATTGACACATTGAAAAGAATACTTTTTTTTTCAATTAATCAGATTAAATTCATTTCTGCAAGGTTTTTCTCAGTGTACTCAAGTAAATACAATACAAACAACAAAAACAGTGAGGTAAAAGAGGTATAAAAGCATAAAAATATACTTAATTTATCTCTTCATCTTCATCGATCAATATTTTTGTGTCATTTCCACTCAACAGGATCACCGGAGCTAATGGAGGTTTTGCTTCAATGGAGCTGGTTGTGCACACTGATAGTGTAAATTACAGTATTAGCAAGCAAGCACTTCCTCGATTTGAAACATCAACACGTTTTTATATTACCTTACTTCTTCACACCTTCAACAAAAGCTTTTCAGCAGAAAACCTTGGCTCAGAAAAAGTGAGTCCTTTTGGACTCACTTTGGAAGGAGGTCACACTTATTTCTGTAATAAGGGTAGGAAGCAGCTGATATTTATCTTTTGTTAAAGTGTTATGTTAGTTCTGCCCTTACTTATGACAGACAGACTAACGCATGTGCTTCATTAGCTTTGTCTGGATGTGTCTCTTCTTTTCTAGCACTGCTTGGCCACATGTGCCACACTTCCAGCATCAAGCCCCTTCATAACCCCCCTTTAAACTGAGCAGGAACAATGGAGACAGGACTGAGTCTAACAACAAAAGCTCTGCCACGCGTCAGGATGCTGCGTCTCTCTATTCCCCTGACACTGCCCCCCTGCTGCATTCAATCCTCCGGGGATTGAGCTTTGACCTCAGGGAAGCAGCAGACCCTCCACACATGGTGGACCTGTTGTGCACTTGTTGGGTGGATGGATGAAGGAAACAGGGATTTCACTTCGTCATTATCTGTACCATACTTATAAATATAATATATTCTGGGCATCCAAAACAAAACATGTTTTCGGTTAGGCCAACATTTCCAAAATGGCCTAATACAAATTAAAACATGATTTGCTTAATATTTCTTGTCAGACAAGTTTAATCAGGTTTTGAAAAGTGCTGTAAAATAAAAAATGTAAAGTTTAAATGAATAATTATAATTATAAACACCCCTTTGCATTTGAGAAGGATATATTACAAATGATAACCCTTAAAAAACATTTTGAATAAGTGTACAGTTTAAAATAATTGCTCGTTGTAATCATCTTGAAAGTCAGTCAATATTTGACCATACAATATGGAAATGATTTTGTGTATAGTATGATTAGTCTTGAGATATTAGATTATTAAAAGCTAGGTCAAACTATGTTAAGTAGACCTAGTTCTAATTAATGTAGCCTACTAATACTTTATTTTTTACGATATAAAGAATATGTACTTTTTTTTGAATATATTCATCCCTCATACCGATCACACATTAAGGGGAGGAGGAGAAGAGGATATGAAGTCCACCCGCACTTAACATAATGTTAACATGGAAAGGACACTATTACATCTGCACATTTTTATACAGTAACCTATGTCCATATATGTTTCTGTTTTTGTAGTAGATTGGTCTACTATAGAGATAAGAGATAAGATATATCTAAGCCCCCAATGTTACTAGATCCCAGTAACACCCCTGGTTACAATAACTTAATTAACATTTTGAATACGGGACTTCATTGACACAGTTGTGCTTTAAGGTTACTCTGTGCTCCTCACACTGACTGAAAATATCTAAGTAGTATTTTTTTAAACTTAGTGTGTCTCTCAGCTTTGTGTTAATGTTCCACTATATACCAGCAACAACACCTTGAGCCTTTAGCGGCAGGAGGCAGGACAGGTGTCCTTCTGGCTGGTAACAGTTTCCCAGGTGACGGAAGGAAGCCACACCCCCTGGAGACCATGGCATGTGCTGCTGACAGACGGAGCAACCAATTCTCACCGAGGAGCTCAAACCGTCAGCTCCACTCACAGAAACACAGACAGACACTGAGACAGAAACACAGGTGTAATGGACGAACTTATTCCCACCTGTGCGTCTCTATTTTAGCTTTTTTCTGTGTCTTTAAAACACTTTTAACTTAGAAAGTTTTGTTTAAGTCAACTCCTCGGTTTTGCAATTATGGATCGCTTGGATGATTGGAGCTTCAAGACCAAAAAAATGGACCTGGAGGACGATTTCTACTTCGACTACGAGTCGGAGGAAATGACAGATTATCAAGACCCCAATGAACTTGTGACTGCATTGAAACAAAAGGAGGAAGAGGTTATTTTGGCAGCCCAGCTGGGAAACGCATTGCTTCTGGAAAACCGTGAGTTGAAAGAGCGGAGCGACAAACTTCATGAACAATACGCAGACAAGCTGGAGGTAAGACTGTATGCTTTATTTCACAAAAACTGCTTAAACATGTTAAATATAATACATGCTTTGTGTTCAAATATGTGTATTAAGAAATCTTTGACGATGTGGTTGATGATAAAGCTTGAAGTGGGAGGGTGAAAATGAAAATGTTTTTAGGATTAACAAATGACAACGCTTTCATTTGTTATAACTGGTATCAGACCCTAGGGCCAATTTAGTAACACAATCAAGTTTAAGAAAACAATAGGCCTACAACATATCGGAGCATAATCCAATTTGTATGTTTGAAAAATACATACAGCTGGCAGTTTCTTTTGTATTAGATATCCAAATGACAACTTTAAATACTCAATTGTAATAATAAACAGCAACATGTGACAAATACATGGAGAAAAATACACGTTTGAGAAACAATAGACACCGTTCAGTATCATCTTCAGCAGACTTTACAACATTCATTATAAATTCCAAAATCTATTGTTAATCTCAACACCATTATATGATCCATAGGATACTACTTTGAATAAAGCTATCATTTCCATACAAAAGGAATAAAAACTACTATTTTCTTTTGTGTTTTTCCACTGACTACAACAGTATATTTACAGAAATGTTTCTCAGCAAGCTATTTTTACAGGTTGTGAAATAAATTGGCAACCTGCTGCAGAGGAACCAAACCTGACTTGACTCAAAAGTTTTATAAAACATCAGAAGTTAACTCGTGCATCAATTACAAGCAAACTGCAGCAGCAGAACCCACATATTTACTGGGAGCATCAGAACACTCCTGAAAGAGATCAGAGATGATTCTCCAAATTCAATAAATGTCTTTAGGACAACATCTAACAGCATTGAAGTAAGAGACAGCGAGTGAAATGAAATTGTGAGATTTTTAATTGTGTTTATATTTGTTGTTAAGGTGTTGCCTACTGCACAGCATCACATACCCGAGCCTTACGACAGACTAAATAATGGCCTGATTGTTTTTCTCGTGGTGAATGCTGATTGGCCCTTCAGATGTTTAAACCCAACTCTTATCAGCGATGACTCGGACTTAAATCCGTACTGTTTACAAAGTGCAATAAAGATGTGGCAAGAAGGTATCTGCCTAGAAGATGAATGATAGTTTTATCTATAATGAAATATATGAAAACAGATTTGACTGATGTTTCTGTAGCACATGAATTAAATGCTTTACATTTCAGTGCAATAGATAATGTTTTTTTATTAATACAAATATCCAGCAATAATTCATTTGGATGATCCTTCAAAGCTCTAAATAAGGCCTCCTGGCACATTCTGTCCCTCAGATTCCTTTTCAAATAAGGAACGTTGTTATTATGACATGCTGTTGCTGACAAGGCAGATTTAGAAGCATTATAATTTCAGTCCAATGCAAAGTATAAACTGCCTATGTTGAGTTAACCGTCACTCTGAATCTGTGTTGTGTAGGCGCTGGAGCAGGGCAGGCATGAGCTGCGGCAGAAGCTGGAGGGCTGCCAGTCCCAGTGGGAGAGCCAGGTGGGCGAGCTGGAGAGGGATGTGAGGGAGCTGAGCGGCCAGGTGGAGCGGCTGACCCGGACCCTCAGCGAGGCCGAGAGGGACAAGAGCCGAGCCGAGCTGGAGCACAGCGAGCACACACAGAAACTCAGAGATCAGCTCAACACTGTGAGTCCCAAGAGTGTGTGTGTGTGTGTGTGTGTGTGTGTGTGTGTGTGTGTGTTATCCTGTCTGAACTGTAGACAGTGGTTAAAGGAGAATTGACTTCCACTGTTACAGTCAGGCNAATGCATGATACAATGGCTACGTTTGGTGAATACACAGCTCATTAGTCAGGTCCTTTGGGTGAAGTTGAGCTCCCTCGGAGATTCACTGAAGACATGAAGTCTCAGTGGTCTGAAGGCCACAGAGCACAGGGTTTGTTGCCAAGAGCAATCCAGTTCAAAGTCCCATAAGGCACCACTCTAACTACATCAGGTAAGTCATAAAGATATGACTGAGAAAGAGCAGTAGCAGCCTGGTTAGACATTAAACTAAGTCCAATTGGCTCAAAATGTAATGGCAATGTATTATTGTTATTATACATTTGCAGGGTCAACTGTCTGCTTTGCATGTCAGGATAAACATACCCATTTTCTGGCCGAGCGTGTTAGCCTCAAACATGCGCTGGTACATCATGGCCTTCTCAGCTGGGCACTCAGGGATCAGCTTGTTTCCCTGGGATTGGTACTGGCTCTGTTGTTGGAGACATTGAAAGAACGACCATTATGATCACAGCTGCAAGGAGCTCCGGTTTCTCTCCGTCTGGAGGAGTAAGGTGACTCTTTGTCTTTGAGGCATTGTTGAACACTTCACAAGGGACCCTTCCTGCATGTTAACTCCTTGGTGTTATATGTCTTCATAAAAAATTAAGTAGGGGTGCAAGATGAACAATGGGACCAGTTGCTTACCTCCAGGTAAAAGCAGGCAGCGTAGGACTCATTTAGGACATGATTGTTGTGTTTGAAGGCAGGAAGCTGAGAGAAAAAGAGTGGAAAAAACACATTGTTATTAAAAAAAATAATACAGTGTGCATGCAAGAAAAAGAAGACTGACACTATAGGAGAACGTGCATTATCTCTGGGTAATGTTTAGTAAACGTACCTGTCCCCTAGGGTTCATTTCCATGACTTGGCTTGACTTGTGCTCCCCTTTCTCAAAGGAGAGCAGTTTCTGGTTGTATCCCTTCAGGTTCTTCTCCTCCAGGACGATCATCACCCTCCAGCAGGGGGGAGAGCCGGAGCCCCACAGCAGAGTCATTTCCTTGGCCATGGTTTAAGAGTGGACTGCAACACCTGAAGCTGAAAGTGGAGGGAGAAGTTGTAACTTGTATGTGGAATGAGTGAGATGCATGCTTATATAACAAGCTCCACTCCTTTGCATCCATTGGTGGAGTTATGGCCCATCCCATTTTTGTTTTATCACCAAAGATCTGCGACTCAAGAAAGTTAAGATGGTTCACACCCTATCCAAGTATGTTAACCTGTTAGGTCAATACAACGTGATGTCATATTATAATATTGCATATTTCAGTAGCTGCATTAAACTAATGTAATGTGGATCATGCTTTAAGTTAATTGTATTCACAGGCATTAGTAAAGTCACATATGAGGAGGGGATACTTCTCTTGCTTGCCTGAATACTCTTTGATCCCAGTTTTGCAGACGTGACAATGACATGATGGAAAAAAAGGAAAGAAAAACTTGAATAAAACACTGAAATAATAACAATAGATGTTGTGCACCTATAATAATAACACCTATAAACTCGAAATGTAATTTACAATAGCCATAGTCAGTGAACTTAGTATGTTCTAATAAAAAGTGATTGTACTAGCATTCTAACAAGCAATACTTAAAATAGTAAATAATAAATATAATCTTGGTTTATTGTTGTTGTTTTATTCTTGCAGTGATTTACTTCTCTTCTACCCATAGTGCTCGTTTCATCATCTTGAAATTTGACTGTTGAAATCTCATGGTGACTCAGCACTTTTCACTCAGCCCTGCACGCACAGAGGAAACCGGCTCAGGCACTTTATCTAATCTAAACAATGAAGTCGCTACTGGATGAAAACACAGCACCTGTTCAAATTAACCCTACATTTGAGTGTGATATCAAAAGAGAGCGCCCACTGTTCACATTTTCACATAATATGCAGATTGTTTGTGCCTCTTTCTCTGAGCCAGTCTTTGAACTCTAAACAGTGTGGACTTGCCAGTATCAACACATTATTCATGACATCAGTCATATATTTAAACATTTGGAAATCACTATCTCCACCAGTTTGGTCTGAACATGGTCTGCATTCACAAGATAACTTTGCAAAGCTGCAAAAAAAATCCCTAACATCATGTGACAGCATCCGTTTCTCCATATTTCATGACGGCATGTGTGTGACTTTGCAACTTTTCATATCGTCTCATCTTATACATTTTTTGACAATGGCATTTCTTCTTCAGTATGCAGGTTGTCTTTCTTGTGTGTGCATGTGTCAGCTCCTTCTCTTCATTTTGCTTTGCTAGCATGACGAACAGTTTCTTTAGAAAAAACACACCAGATTAATAATAAAGGGAATGGTGTTTACAATACAACAGTTTTATATTTGGTAATGCACAAAGGTTCTGCTTTACATGTAACTAGAACACTTTTAATATGTTGGCTTGTGTCCTGTGTACACATGCCATAGAGACGACTGATCCCACTCTGTTCAAAGGATAAATAAATGAGTGGTTGTAGTAGCCTCTCTACTGGGTAAGTGCACCGTGTTTTAGGTTTGGAAGGAGACATTTTTCAAATACAATAACCGCAAACACGTGAAGCCAGTCATTTGCAAAGCTATTTTGCCAATACATGTACAGTATGTATTCTTCTCATGGACATGAAAAACTAGGATAACAGCCTCGTGGTGGTAACGTTTGTTCCAAAGAGATTCCCTCAAGGCGTTCCTGATATTGCTTTCATGAGATTGGGATGAATGGATCGACGGCCACAGCTGACACGGAGGCATTATAGAGAAGATCAAACAGGTCCCAAGCAAATACCATCATGCACGGTGCAATACATGGAGAAGAGGTGCAGGAAGGCCAAGAGGAGAATGGAGACATAAAGAGGTGTCCGGGTGGTGGAGTGCATGAGACTGGCGGCTGATTGGGATGTTTGGAGAGGATTGTGATGTCATCAAAGTGCCCAAACAGCCCTCGGCCTACGGGATTGACCTGACCTGAATTTAAGTCCGAAAATGTGTCCTCATGCCGGATTTATTTTCTGTTGTAGGCTGAATATCAGCAATATTCATTATCAATGAAGAGTGGCAGTGTCTTCAGACTTTTAAAGGAAACTAGGATACTGATTCATGTGTTACTCTTTTCACTTTGGTTTCCAAACACTGATCCTACAATAGCAAATAAAGACTTCAGATCAGATAAATGTTTACACATATTACCAGAGTATTTCTTATGTTGTCACAACCAGAAGCATGCAGTGCATCATGTCGCAGAGGCAGCAGTTTGCTGGAGCCAGTAAAGTTATTTAATCAGTTTCAAATAAAATGACAAAGCTGATAACAAATGAAGCTCTGATCCCCAGCTGCTGTTGCTGTGGTAGTTTTCAGGACCTGAACCAAAGTTTCTAAGCAAATAAAAACCACTCAACAAAGAAGAGGCACAGCTATGTTTGTTTTAAGGTGTGCACTTTACATAAGTGATATCATTTGGATTGTATGCAAACGATTTAATATCTTGTATGCAAAGTCATGGTAACACAGCATTTCACTCTCCTTTGTTCAGAGCGTGGGCAATGGAATAAACTGGGTCATGGGTTTATAGACGCGGCCTACTTTATTTATTGATGTGTGAGATTAAATAACTATTCCAGACTTGACCTTGAACAGTGGTATTTATTGGGTTAATTCAATGTTCAGCAACAGTAAGGTTTAAACATTAATACATCATTACTCTTAGACATCACATCTCCAGCAGTCACATATTGGTTTTTATTTTTCCCAGTGGAATTCTAGAGCCAATATATGGGTTTAAATTGCATTGCATACAAACAGCATGCAAGACACGTTAGTTTTAGTGGAGGATATTTAGTGCAAAATTGGTAGAAACCCAATCAACCTAAAGAACTAGCTTCATAAGCAAAAATGCATTAAAGTACTCTCATAGTGGCGTGTAAAGGCATTAGTAAACTGAAATTGATGATAGTCAAACACACCTTCTAACTTTGCAACAAACAACGCTAAATAATATCCAAATGATGAATGGTGAAGGACTTACCCTGCAAACATAACATTTTGAATTAATACTTCAAGGCCAAATGTTGCAATTTTTATCAATATCTGATCCTGTTTTACCTTAAATTCACAAACAAACATTATTTTTCTTGCATTGCATGGCTGATCCGAGTTGGATTACATTGAGCAAGCCCCTATTTACTTCAATTCATTCAACATTTTCCCTGATTTTAGATTTTGCGTTCATTGTGACGAGAGAATAAGTTATATTCAAGAATTCAAGGTAGCACAGGGTGAGTAACTGATATACGAAAAATTGCTTATTATTTTTAACATAGCCTGTGTTTACCAACTGATTTGTTGTCCAAGATTTAACAGAAACACAGCCTTTTAATTAAATGTAAAATCTAAATGAACAAAAAAAAAAGTCTGCTCTTGGAACAATGATATATTTGGAACATACAAATCTTTTATCGTAACCTCAACACGGTTTCTTTTCTGAAAAATGAAAGGGTTGTCTTGCAAAAAGCAAAAGCATCACAAGCAGACGTGACTGAGGAGTGTGTGTGTGAGGGTCTCAGATGTCTTTCAGTGTGTCCTGTCCCTTGGGGTTCTCCAGCCAGTGAGGAGGCCAGCTGGCTTTGATGCTGGGGCGGTCCTTCAGCAGAGCGTAGTACTCTCCCAGTTTGGGGTAACGCTCAGCAGACAGCCTGCAGACCAGAAAGAAGGTAAAGTTGAAATCGAATGCTACCTCCGCTCCGCCTCCTAAACAAGGCCCGCCCCCCCACTGACACTTTACCCAGCCACATTATGATGTGGCTGGGTAAAGTGTCAGTGGGGGGGCGGGCCTTGTTTAGGAGGCGGAGCGGAGGTAGCATTCGATTTCAACTTTACCTTCTTTCTGGTCTGCAGGNACAAATATAATTGCTACAATAATAACGTGGTACAAGATTAAAGCGTGGGACAACCTTAGAAGTCGATTTCAGGTTATCTTGCCAAATTAACTTTATTCCCGATATATCCGTAAAATAAAACACTGTTAAACTCTTAAAGATGACACTACTGGAGATTATTTGTTCTAGCGTCGTGCTTTAAACAGCATGTATTTTACTATTTATTGATCAGGGCGGAATATGTCACACCATATTTTTTTGAGTTGAGTAAAGGACTTAAAATAGAGGGGTCTCAAAATCATTAAGGTCTTCGCGTGCGTAATCACACACAGAAAAAAAAAATA